TGCAGTGTGGTTGTAGTTGTGCTCTAGCACCTGCACTCATGATGGAAGATAACAAGAGGTTGGGAGAAATGTAAACATGAGCATTTTGCAAATGCTAACGTTGAATTTCACAAATCATCCCAAATGTGGATTTGGGATTTAATCTCAAACTTTAATCTCAAACTGTGTTTTCCAAAGCAAGGCTTGTGGAAAGAGGTAATATTCTCTCTTCTGACCTTCCATTATCCTGGCTACAAAACTCTGTTATGCCATTATTCAAGGGGCTCATTAATATTATTGTAGAATTTTAAGGTGGTTGGGATGTTCTGAAACATAAGATGCTGTGCTTGTGGCAGGTCAAAATTTAAAATCATGTTTCCCTGGGTCCTAAAGTATTCCATTGTAATCTAATTATTTTGTTGTTTTGACTGTTTCCTCAGCAAGATGGGCAGATAAGTTCCTCTTGGACATTTAGGTTTGTCTGAGCCAAGAATGTACAAGAAAGAAGCAGGGGAAAACTGAGAAATGGCATTTACAGTGTCCACCAGGGTACTCTTGTATAGCCCATGGAGATGAGAGAACCTGTGTTAAGTGCAATGGAATTGGAGTCAAACCTGTGAACCTCATATGAAATGTAATTGGCTATTTTCATAAAGAAATCCCCCAGATGAATAATACTTTTTATTGTGAGGTCATTTGTCTAAGCAATGGCAAATAGATACTCATCAATGGCTGTAAGCCAGAGTCCTAAACACTGTTGCATTAGTTTACAGCAGGACTAAATTTGACCCAGCATATCTAACAGGATGTTTGATAATCAGGGTTAGGCTGCTTGGAGGGCTCTGGAATGATTTCTTCTGCCCTTGGCCTTGCATTTCTTCAGTAGATGATGGGGACAGTTCTATAATGTTTCCATAGGCATTACTGGAAATTCTAGAGAAGATAGGATTAAGACTTATGAAATATATAAAAGTATTGTCTTGGCCATCCTCATGAAGTGTTGCGTGGTAGAAACTCATTTTCTCCTTGAAACTGAGCAAAATTCAACCCCAGGGTGCAGGGACATTACATAAAAGAGAGGCTGCAAAGAAATCAGGAAAGAGAAATTTTGAAATCAGGTTGCTAAATCAAAAGAACTGTTCTGCTAATTTGCATTTTCTGTCCTGCAAAATGTAATTTGGGAAGAAACCCCCTCCTTCCTCCGAGTCCTTTATTTCTTATCTAGAAATGATTTTTTAATAAAAGGTAGGCAATGTTCCCGTCATACCTCTGTTCATTAGCAAATCATCTGGAATCTCTCCTGTTGCTCCTAGACATCTCCATCTCTAGGAAGCAGGAAGCAGTGGAGCACTGCTCATTGCAGAGAGCCAGAAAACCTGAAAACAAAAAGCCTGAAAACTGCTGCGACCGTGGGGATCCACGATGGTCAATATTTCAGGTGCAGAGGAGAGGATGGAGGAGGGAAACTTTACCAGCAGTTTATTCTCTATGGAAAGTGCAGCTTGGCAAACATCTCAGATTTAAGAGAATTCAGCCACTGTTGTCAGCACAGGCACGTGTAGGCATCTGACTGAAGGCATACATGTTTTCAGTGGTTACAGCAAAGCATCTCCACTGCTGCTAGGGAGAAAGGGAGGGCAGTATTATTTTTCCTGTATGTGCAGCTAACAATTCCTGGAACCTCAGCTCTCCTCCCACTTCCCTTTTCCCCTTTCCTGGCTCCTTTCCTCTGGGATTTAACAAGACCAACCTGAGGCTCTGGGTTACCCCTAACAATGCTTCCTTTCGAACCTTGCAAAAGACTTAAAAAAGTGAGATTTGTGGGTTGCTTTTGCATACAAAAGCCAGGGGGAAAGCAGAGATAGCACAGATCTCCTGGGGTTTCTGCTCTGGGCGGATCTGTGTTGTTCAGAGCAGTGGTGTGCAGCACTCCAGCAGAGCCCAAGCTATCCCAGGACACCCACTGTGCTGCTGGCTACCACCTCCTCTCTGGATTCCTGCCACTTTCCTTAGGGGCAGGACTCAGTACTGAAAATCCTGAGCTAATTGTGACCCTAGTTTAATCCTTGCAGCAGTCACCCTGCTGGCACAGCCTTGTGCCAGTGGCAAAAGCAGGGAAGAGCCTGATCCCACAGGAGACCCGGGAGATACCTGAGGGGATGCATCTGTACTTAAGAGGCTCATTACTTAACACCTCTCCCAGGCATTAAAGTCTCAGCATGCACTGAATGGCTCCAGGAAAGATAAACACAAAATCTGGATGCAGCACTAGAAATGGAAATGATGGGTAAGGGAAACAGCGAGTGCCACAAGCTTTCTTTCTGTCTCTGTGTGTGCAGCTGGATTGAACACTGGACCTGCTTTTATGCTACAGCTCTACATCCCTTCTGCAGGGCAGAAAGAGGCAGCACAAGAATGAGAATGGCAGGATGCAGCTTTGCTTGGGCAGTTCCTACAGCCAGGGAAGGATCTGGCTTTGCTTGGGTACTTCCCACAGCCCTGGTCTGTGTTAGGGGGAAGTTTTTCTTCTGCCTCACCACAAAGGAGGGAGATGTCTGTTTTCCCTGTCACACAGGCAGTTTATGGCTGATCCCTAGAGGCAACCAGTTCACCTGTTTTTTTATCTCCTGCTCTGACCCTAGGATTGTCCTTCCTGAACATTTTCTGCATGCAAGGGGGGCTGGAAACACAGCCTGCCTTGAGATCATAATAATGTAGGCCAAAGGCCTTTTATCACTGCTCACCATGGCAGATAGACCATGGGCCACTGCCTCGTGCTGGGGCAGACCTGTAGTGTGGCCAGAGAGAAGCCAGATCCCACACCAGGGCTCTCACTGTGCCACCTACAAGGGTTTCTTTGGTGAGGTGTCCTGATGCAGTGTGTAGCCTGGCTGGAGATTGTGGCCCCTGGCCTCAGCAATGACCTGCAAGTCACAGCCTGGCATGGCCAACAGCAGAGCACTAGACACTGATCAGGGCATCTGCTTGGGAAAGTGATTCACTCCTAGATTTCTTGTGTGATTTGCCACTGTGGAAATCCATGATGTGATATTTCTTAAAACAAGGGCTTTAGAAAATGTTTTAAAGTTCTGTTTGAAACATTTTACTGTGTTCAAGTAGTGGTGTGTTGTCTGTCTTTCTCTGACCAAGCTCAGAAGCTAGAAAAACCTATTTTCAGTGTTTAAAGGTGATGCTGCTTGTTTAATACCATAGTAGTGTTGGCTGGAAAGCCCTACAATGGCCAAAGACTTTTGACCAAAACTACAAGGAAAGTTCTGGTTGAGGAAAGCAGCAGTAAAAGTGGTGCAGCCATAATAACTCTATTTCACCATGCATGCACACAGTTCAGTGCCCAACAGGGGACTGTGTTAAGTACTTAGATTTGTAAAGTTCTGTCCACTGCAATGAGGCCTCTTAGTCACAATGAAATATCAGCAGCTGCACCCACATAGATTCTTAGATGATTCCTCTGATCCTCTTTGCCCCTACTTCTTCCCCCTGCAATCCCCATCCACAGAAGCAGTGGCAGCAGCTATGGTCCCAGGAAAATTGCTCTGGTCTCCCACCACTCAGGACACAGCCTTTAGGACCTTGCACTGAGAAATGGGCAAAAGAAGGCAGAACAGCAGGATTTTCCCAGCTGGCTTGGAGTGGTTGCATTTTTCTCAGCTCATTTTCACTCTCTGGCTCAGAGATGTCTGCTAGGCAGGGTGTTTCAGGTCTGTAGGGTTCAGCTTTGGTGGGCACTGATGGCAGCTGTTTGCTCAGTTTCCCCCTTCTCAGGGCCAGTGTGGGGTAAAGCTGCACCTTCTCCTTCCCACTGATCCCTGCTGGAACCACACCAGCCCTACCTGCATCAGCTTCACCTTCCTTTTTACTTGAAGTACAAAATTAGCAGCCAGGAAAACACTTGGGTGTCAACCCCTGGCAGTCTTCAGTTTCCCAGCGAGGGGCAGTGGCAAACTGAGAAATGGAAAGAAGAGTTGGAAAAATAAACCAAACAAAATAACAAGCAGTCTAAAATGTGTCCTAACTCCCTTAAATTATAGGATGACTTAGGTCCCCATAGTTTCATAGTTCTATGGTTGTGACAAGAGGTATACACACACACACACACATACATAGATATAGATATAGATGATATAGATAAAGATATAGGTATGTGTGTCTGTGTGTATACAAGGTAGATTTCAGGGCACAGAGCAGGTCAGTTAGACAGTACCACCATAAATATATTTTCAGGTGTCACAGGGCAAATTCTCTGAATGTGGAATAGGAGCCATGTGGCATTCAGGAATACAAATATTTACAGAAAGATTCAGCATTATGGAAATTTCTGCAAGAAGGTTTTGTTGGGGCAAATTTAATCCCCATCTTCCCAACATACCTCCCCAGTGCTTAAACTGCAAGAATATACTTGTTCCCTAATTACAGAAGAGCACCAAGGATCTGTTAGTATTTCTGCCAGTGGGATTGATGAGTGTTGGCATAATCAGAGAAACTCTTGACTGCAGGCTTTCAAGTGTCCAGATCATCTCTGGGATTTGGAGAGAAAAAAAAATGAGGACAAAAAAGACTGGTGAAAAAAACAAAGTGGTGGGTCAGAGTGCTTGTTGCCAAGCTAAATGGCATTTTAAAATGCTATATCCAAATCAGATAATCCAGGAAAGGTAGCCCAGATTAAATTTATGACATGCTGAATGCCTTACACCTGTTCTTAACAGGGTGAAATTTCCATTGCCCTCTAGAAAGGCCTTAGTTAAGGTCTCAGTATCACCTTGGAACATATCCTGACTGGGTTGTGCAACCTCTGCTCACACTGCTGCCCTCACTTCAGGAGCCTCTTTGCAAAAGCCAGTCCTTGTACTCCCCGAACCACTTTTGTGCATATTTGCACCTTTGATGTAGAGGTCCCCTTTTGTTGTACCTCCCAGCCAAACATCTCTGAGACCCATATAAATATTAGTTATAAAATTCAAGTGGTTCATAACTTCTTTTTGTTCTTCAAGAAGAAGAGTAAACAGAGGTGCCAAGCTGCTAAGTGCTTTGCCCAAGGTTAGAAATGTAGGTGGAACACAATTGGAACGAAAGGTATCAGTGGAAATGGAAAGGTGTCAGTGGAAATGTAGGGTCCTGTGCTCAAATCCTCGCCGTTTGCTGACAGAGCTGCAATTCTGAGACTGCACTGAGAGTTCATTTGGCCTTGGTCAAACCTCACCTGCCATTTCATTTATTTGCCTTAGGATGCGTGTGATTAAAGGAAAGGTGAGTTTGTGGCAAGGCTGACTGCCGAGAAGGTTTCCCAGGATGGGGAAGGGGATGCTCCAGGACTGCCTGGTGGGTGTGAGGGTGAGTGGCAGTGAAACCTCAGTTACCTGCAGGCACGTTCTTTACCTCTTACCCCTCACTGTCTCCTTCATGGCCAGATTCCGGTGTTTTTGTGTGAAAAGAAGGGCTGAAGGTGCCCCCCAGCAGGCAGCTCGCCGCAGCAATCGGATGATCTCCCTCTGTGAAGCCTTCACCTGTTGTGTGCCTGGCTCCCCCATGCCGCTGATAGCATCGCCACTGTGACCTTGGAATCCTTCTCACCAGTGCCACCCTGTCTCCTAGCAGGGGGAAATCAGATTTCCTCCCCTCCGCACCTCTCCCTGCATTTTCATTTCTGAAGAAAGAGCCAGGGAGGGGATGGAGCCTCTCCCTGTGCAGCAGTGACTATTTTCAGCTGTAGCCCAACAGATTGCTTCGCTCCTCTGCCTTATCATCCAATACCACCTTAATGCATGCAGCTACGCAAGGTTACTATTAGTGACTGATATCGCTGGCGCTGCGGACTGGAGGTTTTAACCCTAGATGAATCAAAATCTCTGTGCCACATCCTTGGTTCTCCCTGGATTTTCAGATATCAGTTAATCAGTTATTATTATTACTATTTTTGAGCTTTTTTTATTTTTTTTTTAAAAACCAGAAAATACAGTAAGTTTCTTTTTTCAGAGGATGACAAAGAGAAAAGTCAGCCATTCTCGAGGACCAAATCAATCAGTGGTTTACCTTGCATGGAGTGACTGACAGCTCTGGCCCTCTGGCATTGTAATTTATTTTCCAGGCTCAAACCTTTGCAAGTATCACATGCCAAGCTTTTAAAAATGTATATATAGAACCGGCTAGATAGTTATATTTAGTGCAACTGTAGGTACGGAGGCATTTCTTTTTTTAGCTTCTGTTGGTGCAAATATAGAGATAGGAGAGAATCGAACAACCTCTCCTCACCTCTCCCCTGTGAAAGCATCCCTTCCATCTGGCAACCTGCCCAGAGGAGTCTGCAAAGCTGCTGTTGGGAGGGGGCTGTGGAAAGAGCTGGCTGAGGAATGGTGAGTTTACAAGACATCCCCAATTTTCAGCAAAAGGTGCAAAAAAATCTCATTCTGCCGCAGAATAAAAATGTGGTGCAGAATAGAAATAACATTTTCTCCCCAGAGCCCTGGAAGGTCGAAACAATTTATTTTGACCTTTTAAAACCTACCTTGAGGCTATGCAGGTCACAGGAGGTGCACCAGTTGGTAAGTGGGAAACTCCAAGGAGCAGAACACCCCTTAGTTAAGCACCTGATGCAAGATAAGCATCCTGACTTGTACCAGCAGTAGTGTGGCCAGCAGGACTAGAGAATGGATTGTCCCCTGCACTTGGCCACACCTCAAATCCTGCTCCTCTTCTGGGCCCCTCAGTTCAGGGAGGACATTGAGGTGCTGGAGCAGGTCCAGAGACGGGCAACAGAGCTGGGGAAGGGTCTGGAGCTCAAGTCCTACAAGGATTGGCTGAGGGAGCTGGGGTTGTTTCAGCTGGAGAAAAGGAGGCTTGGGGAAACCTAATTACTCTCTACAACTCCCTGACAGGCAGGGTGTAGCCAGGTGTGTATCTGCCTTTTCTCCCAAGTAACAAATGAGAGGAGGAGAGGAAACGACCTTAGGTTTCATGGGAAAGTTTCCAGGGGAAGTTTAGACTGGACAGTAGGAAAATTTCTACATGGGAAGGGTTTTCAAGCATTGGAACAGGCTGCCCAGGGTCTGCCAGGTTGAGCCACCATCCCCAAAGGGATTTAAAAGACCCATGGAAGTGGCACTGGGGGACATGGTTTGGGGATAGACTTGGCAGTGTTAGGTTAATAGATGGACTTGAAGGTCTTAGAGGTGTTTTTCAACCTAAATGATTCTATTGTAATTCCATCCTGTCCTCCAGTTCAGGATCTTCCAAATGCACCCTTCTTAGCAGATTGGCCTTGGTTCAGGAATGGGAAGTGCTACCAGCTATGAGAGGCTCTCAAGGCTCCCAGCCCTTCTTGACAATTTCCATCCTGGTAAATGGGAAACTGGACAGCTTCAGAGCATAGGTGAGGAAACCAGGAACTGAGGAGTGTGTTTGGGACCACTGATGTCCTGTCTATATCCCTGCAGAGCATGTCTAGCCACAAATGCACATTTCCCAAGAGCTAGTTGTTCCAGGCAGTCCTGATTTCAGCCTGGGCAGCAGAGAGGCCCTTGGCAGGGGGCTGGTGGCTGCAGGAATGAGCAGCACAGCAGGGGAGGGGGGCACAGCACCCAGGCATCCCTGGCTGTGTGGGGTCCCTTGCCAGCTCCCAGCTGTTCCTGACAGCTGAATCCCATGGCCTGACAGCAAGTGTAACCTCTGCAGACATGAAAAACAGACAAGTTTAACAGGTACATGGGCTTCTTGTCAGATCTGAACAGAAACCTCCCCTCTGGCCTGAGCAAGGCTTTGTGTGTCCCAATATATCTGTTTTCTCAGGCTGTTATCAGCTGGTCTGATAAAAGGTGTTACTCCTCCCTGCATTTCTCACTTTGCTTTTACAGTAGTCCAGGAAGGGTACAGACTTATGAACTGCCTGTTATAAATGCACCATAAAAACAAACACTTGCATTTTTAAAATGTCATTGTCCTTTTATATTTCAGCTTTCCATTTCTGGTCTGTTTGCTATCTCCTGGTCTGTCCACACATGGGCACTCTCATTTGTACCTGCACAAAACAACTGGCATGCACCTTTTCCTGTGTAAATAAGCTTGTTCCTTGGGCAGTTGTACATCACAGGTTGGTGACACCTTCTAATCTTATTTTAGGATCTGGTGGTAGGTTTTTCACATGTTGACCTCAAACCTGCATGCACAAAAATAATCTTTGCTCTTAAACTCTCAGACCTTGTTTTTCACACTTCCCAGCAAGAGAGGAAGATAAAGAACACTCAGACCTAAGAATGTATTTTATGATCATTGAGAAAGCAATAAAATCTTCTGCTTTGAAGCTGAGATACATAATCCATGTGTATGTGCCTGGGGCTGGTCCGAGCAGAGCTCCCACAAGGCTGAGATGTGACGGACACAGGGTGATGGATGCAGTGTCACAGGCTGTTTGGAGGTGGCAGCATTCATATCCTGGCTATTGGAAAGGGCTTGGAAGTTATTACATCCCTTGCTCAATGCGGGAGGAAGATAAGGAGCACTTTTCAGCAGGGTCTAAACACATGGGGTGGTGATAAATGCAAATCCCTCAAGCTCTGCACAGCAGGGCTAATGGGTCTTCAGCTTCAGCAGAAAGAGAGTCACAGTCTGGCTGACCTCGTCCAGGAGGACAAAAGACAAAAAGATGAGAAACTGTAGGAAGCAGCAGCTGTGACTGAAAGAGGGAGAGGTGTTTGGGTTCCAGGGTCTCAGACACATGGCCACAGTGTCCATGGGGGATTCAGGCCTGATGGCAATTTGGCCAAAAGCATGCAAGTGGCGGGGTGCACATTTGTCTTGATTGAAATTGAGGTTTTTGGGGGGTTTGTTGAAGCCAGCCGACCAACAGCACTCACCCTGGTGTGGGATTCTCCAAGACAGAAGTTATCCCTGGGATGTGCATCGTGGCAGCCCTGGGGTGTTATCCTGCCCCTGCATTGGGGCAGCCTCTTCCTGGGGCTGTGATTGCTGAGGCCACTGCCAGCAAACCTGCCGAGGTCACTGGGAGCAGGAGAAAGGCTCTTGGGACGCAGGGAGACCCTGAGAGTGCAGGAGCTGACAGCCCTGGGATCAGCCCTGCTGGGATCCCTTTTCACCAAGGTCTGAACGCCTGTGGTGTGCTAGCTAAAGAAAATCATCCTTCCCTTGCCATTCTTCAACCTTCAGGGGTGCATAATCACCGATATTTGCTGAAGCTGCTTGTTAATGATGTTTACCAGAAGGTATTTCCTGCTGTGTCTTCCCAAAAGACGTGAGCCTGTCCCACAGCACACAGCACAGCTCTGAACTGCCAGCAAGTTAAGGCAAAAATATCACCTTTCCCAAGGTGCTAAATGACTGGCATGGACATGCATACTTAGTGTACTCTGCTCCCCTCTCTGCCACAATCAATACCAGTCTGATTTCTTTATCATGGATGATGGAGGATGGAGATGAGCGATCCTGCTCATACTTCAGCTTTGGCATTTTGATTCCCAAACAGCCCATTCGCTAGTAGCATAAAAATAATGTAAAAACAAATAGATCAAATAAATGTAGCTTGAAGACATCTCTATTACAACCCTGCTCTGTATTCTATAAGCAAAATATGTACTGTGCATACAAACACTGGGGGAATGAAGGGATGCAGGTATTAACACTGACACATCAAGGGGCTCCTTCATGATACCATATTATCTATACAATCACCTACAAGTATTTACATTTCATGAACGAGGTTTTCCAAACATCACCCCCAGCTGCTGTTCTTGGATGAAGTTCAGGCAAGGAATGAGGCCAAATCAACCCCTCCAGAGGGTGTTATTAAAAAAGACCTGGAAGAGGTGGGTGCTGGTGAACTTGAGTTGGGGTGGCTGTGGCAGGGCTGGAGGTAAAGCATCATGTTTGTGGAAGACATCATTCAATAGTCAAGATGGGCAGGTCCACTGGAAGAAAAATGGTGAGAAAGTCTCTAATTGGGTTCAGCCTCAGTCTTGGCTACAAGGTCGAGTGTGTTTTTCCCTCGTATTTTGGCACTGGTTCTTTTGAACACAGTTTAGCATAGGTAGGCCTTGCAAACTGTTTCCTAGGACTCCTCAGTGGGGCAGCTGTGGAGAATTTGCCACTCATGGGGTGCAGCTGGTGACTGAACTGACCTGGCATTTTTACAACCTTCACCGGATGAAAAACATGTTAACGAGGCAGAAGGTTTATAAAAGCCACCCATTCTGCAAACAGCCTCTCCCTGCAGACAGACTGTGTGAACACAACACAGCTGGCACTCCAGAAAGTTTGAAAAACTCCGTAATTAATTAATGGATTTCTTTCAATATCGACCCACTCCTAAATCCTGACCACTACTCCGGACAGGGCACTTTATGACACAAATTAAACAAATTGTGGTGTTAAATGTCTCACTTCAGTTCAGCAGGTTGCCTGCAAGTACCAGACCCACTTCAGGCCTACACCATGTCCTGACTCCAGCACAATTTATCCATTTCATTTGCTTACATTCCCTCTGCAGGTCCAATGAGACACGTGCTTTCTCTCTGCTGCTTCTCCTGTCACTGTGATCACATTTGCTGTTACAATGTGCCTGTTTGATTGAGTATAATTTACAGGATAAACAAAAAAATATACACACCTTTTAAAAAAGTGAAGCTTTTTGGACCAAAAAGTCTTAATATTGTAAGAATGACTAACCTATGCCCCTCCTGCTCAAAGCAGGAATCTACATTTTGTGCAAGGACAACTTATATGACACCGTGTGAAAATGTGGCCAGTATTTCTAATAAATTTGTATGGTTTTTAATTACATGTCAACAAGCAAAGCAGGAGGTGGCTGAGACATCCACACAGGATGTGGGAGATTAGGGTTAAACTTCCACTCTGTCCAAGGGGAATGTGATCTACTGCTCTTGCCTTTTACTAGGAGAGTCTCTATATTCTCCGTCTTCCAGCTGCCCTGGGACGTGGGTGCTCCCAGCCAGCTGTTGCAAAACATTTTACTATTTCTTGGCAATGGGAAAAGAAAACAAAGGAGTACCCATGTGAGGCTGGAGAGGCACACAGTTATGCTTGGTAAATAGTTATGCAGAGTCCAATCTGAGAAATAAATGAATTTAGCATTCAGCTGTAGGTCCCTCCAAGCACACACCAACTGCTGCAGTAATTGTGCTGCAGCTAGGGGAGCAGGACTGTGGAGAAGGATTTTCCCTCCAGCTGCAAAACCTCCTGTGGCACCTCTGAAGGTCACTTTTCCAATGCTTCATCTCCACTGAATATGACCACTGGTCAGGGGGATATAGCTACTGCCTGAGGGTGGTAGGAAGATTCAGGAGAAGGAGAGGCCTAAGTCCATCCCACTTAGGACAGACATTTAAGATTAACTCGTACAATTCTTCCTCTGTAAGTAAAGGATCCATAGATAAACTCCAGTCTATTAAAGGAAATGTTCCTGCTGGCATCAGTTGTTTGTACTTCCATGATAGGTGCCACAAAGTATTTCTCAATTATTAACAAACCTGAAGCCAAGGTGAATGGCTCAAGTTATGTCACGAGGGGCACTTCTCTTTTAAAAACTCTGAGTTAAACAAGATTACCTTGTACTAAGTTAGAAGTGCTTCCCATTTGCAGGGTGAGAATTTGCACTAGCTCAGGTGAAGAGCTGAGCCGTGGGGGAGTTTATTAGCTGGCACTGCAGGGTCTGATCCAGACACCATTCATACATTTGGAAATTCTCCCTTGCCTTCCACAGGCACAGAAGGAACCAAGAGGATGGGAATTAGTCTTGTGTCAGTCGGTGCCAATATCCCTCTTGAAAATTAAAAAAAAATCGTGTCCAAAAGCTCTGTATTATCAAGACAGATAACAAAGAGGATAAAAGCTCACTCATTTAACATTCCTATGCGTTCTTTACTCAACTCAGACCTGTGAGCCCTCCTGATCTTTCTCCTGGACCATTATTTTCTATTTTTACTCTCAGGCTAGCATGGAAAGACTTCTCATGGCATAGTGAGAAGTGTTCCTCCCTACAGATGTGCTGCTCCCACCATCCTCCAGTCTAAATTGGGTCACAACTTCTGGAGCAAGGCCTGGCAGGGTGAATTTTACCCCTGGTTCATGGGGAACCACTACATTGAGTCTGCCATTCATGCCTCCTTCACACAGCCAGAGCAGGAAGAGGCCTGAGGAGAAATTGAAATCCTGGGTGCAAACAGAAGTCAGCACACTGCCACCCTTGGGATGTAGGCACACAGAAAATGGATGTCTTAGTCACCCAGCAGAGTCTGTCCACAGTGCTTATGGAAAACTGATACCTGTGAGCATTTATGGAATTGCATGAATGGGGAAAATGTTTGATCCATGGCTGTGCAGGCAGCTGCCGTGTGGGACCCAGGCAGTCACTCTCCTGTACCACAATAACAATATTTTGTAGTGGTCTCATCATCTCCACCTCTGCAGGTGCTCATCTCTGGCTTGCCCCTTGGTGAGCCACAGGAACACGTTCAGCCCCTGGCTCAGTGATGTAAAGTGAAGAGGGGGAATGATTGTGTGTGGGGAAATGGTGTCCTGCAAGGAGGAACTGGGGGAACCCCAGGGTGTGGGGTTCTCAGGGAGACTCTTCTTTCTCTGGAAGAGCTGGAAAATAGCTCTCTCCTGAGCCCTGGAGTAGGTGGATTAGGGAAAGAAGAGGTCTGAGAGCATTGACTGTGCTGGGCCCACTGAAGATGGAGGGCTGAACTCTGACCTGGCATCTCTGGTAGTGATGCTAATGAAAACATTATGCTCTGTGAAGCCAGAACTTGGCAGGCTCTTTACATCTACCTGTTATGTGGGAGCTAAAAAAATCTCACAATTGCTTCCTTAAACAAAAATTTGCAGTCAGACTGCGTGGAGGTCAGTTGAAGGCAGATGGAGGCCTCCCAAAGGACTTCAAAGGAAAGATAACAAGCGCACACACAAAAATGCAGTCTGCCTTGAATTCCTCTGGAGGGTCACTAAGGCACTGCAAAGCCAGCTCTGGGTTGAATAGTCTGGTTTGCCTGTGGACCTTCCAGTAAAATATGGTCTTTTCTCTGCAAACCTCAGTACTTAGATAAGGAGAGATGTGTGGAGCAGTCTGGTCTCTGGAGCAGGGGTGCAAGCAGGCTCTCTGGTTATTGACTGTGATCAGCTGTGCCTGGGCACCACACGGCTTGACCTGCCCCGTATTGCAGCACAGAAACCCAGAGCGGAGCACAGGGCTGGGCCAAAGCTGCTGGAGTCACCTGATGGGTCATTCCTGAAAGCAGCCACTGGTGGAAGGGGAGGGAAGGAGTAAGAGGAACGTGGTGAGGGGATGATGCATCTCATCTCCACCTTCTCAGCATCTCATCCCCGGCAAATGAGAGACTTGAAGGAGTGTCTGAGCTGGAGCCAAACCTCTGGGGACTGCAGCAGTGGTGATTCCAGCTTCCCAGTTCTGGTTAAACCCTGTTGGAACCTGTTTGTACTGGGGGCCTCCATATCAACTGGTGGCAGTGAGTTCCCCAGTTCAATTATGTATGTTATGGAAAGGCATTCCTTTGTGTTTATTTTGAATTGGCTGCCTGGTAATTTCAAAGGAGTTCCCATTCTGTCCAACCTAATTTGGAGGATGTGTGCCCAGTGGCTAGACCATAGGAATGGATCTCTGAATTAATTCTATTTTCATCTCTGTCATTCTTCTAGAAGAGCAGGTATTATTATTCATTGGGGTGAGTTTCACCTTCAGCCAGCTCAATTAAAATTACCCCAAGCAAATAGTGATCTGGAATTTGGATGAGACTAATGTTCCCTGTATACATGCAGAGAACAGGTAGAAACTAAACTAGGCAATAAAGGTAAAAATTCTGTTTTAAATTTCCAATGCCTGGATCGATTTGTGCAATTGAAACTGCTGCCAACGTGTTACAAAATAACTTGCCATACAGAAGTAGACTCTATTATGTAGCAGAAAGCCCATAATTACAGAAAGATGAGAGCCCACCTGCAGGACAAAAATGTGTCATTTCTAAAAATAGCAATTTGCATACTGACCTAAGGACTGACTATCTATTGTAATTGTCCTATTTCTATTGATGTGTCTTCATGTCACTTGTAGTTTGCCAGTGAAACGGCACAAAAATCTTGAAAAAAAAAATCAGCTAGGCGAAAGAGTATTTAACAACCTGTGTGAGCAGCTGAGAAGGGTTCACAGATATAGAGGTGCTGGTTATATGTCTGCATTAATTATAGTTTTGGGTACATGCTAGTAAGACATTCAAAGCTCAGCCTTAATGGGATTTTCTTCCTTCTTTCAGAGGTAAAAAAGCAGCCTTTCTGCAAGAGGTCGTTTGCATCCAGGACGTGTACAAATCTCTTTACATTTATTTAGAAACTAAGGCAATTAAAACACCCCAGGCCCCTCCTGTTAGCTCAGAAACATCATTATGAAGATGCTTATGCCGCAGCGGCTTACTACGCTCGGTTTAGTGGAAAACTGGAAAGCTGCATTTCCAGCCATTTGATCAACATTTTCCCGAGGTTGCTAATGACTTGCAAAGATCTGCCCGACAGTAACACCCTCAGGGAGACTGCGCTGTCTCCTCCGAGAACCCCTATTTGTTTTCAGAATGAGAACTTTAATTAGGTGAGGGGGGTATTTTCGGCGGAGGAGTGAATGCCTTGTGCCCTCACAAACAAACCCTGTGTGACTGCCCGGGAGCCCCAGCCTTGGCACAGCCGAGGATCTACTGGCGCAAAGAAAATTCGATTTTATCTTGGTTCCCGCTGCGTTTCCCCACTTTCTGCGCTATCTGAGCGCGCTCCCCCCCTTTCGGAGGGGATCTTTTGCTCGTGGGTGGCTCTCATGGCCGGGGGAGGCGGGGGGAGAGGCGGGGGAAGCGGGCAGAGATGCCAGGCAGCTCTCCCGGGGATGTTGGGGTGCAATTCCCAGCGGGAAGGGCGCACCCCAACAACCCCGTCCGGGCAGGAGCGGAGATAAGGGACAGCCAGATGCCACCAGCATTCCTCAGGGCTTTCTCAACTTCCACCGTCCTAAAAAAAAAAAAAACAACAAAAAACACGCTCGTGAGGCAGGCTTAGGAATCCCCAAAGACTCTCCATGAAGTCACTAATTGCTGCTAATTATGGTGAGAATGGTTTGCGATGCCGGTGATGCGCCGGGTCTGAGGAGAGCGCGGTGCCCGGGCGGCGGCAGCGGCGCTGGAGGAGATGGAAGGGTCCCAAGGAGCAGCTGCAGGACAGGGCAGGAATGCCGGCTCTGGAGCCGTGTCCCAGGGACATGAGCAGGATACGGCCCCCCTGGCATCGGGGGACAATGGCACCGCTGAGAGCACCCCGCAATAAGGCAGATGGGGAGGGGGGAAATGGGTGTCCAGGTCATGTAAAGAGATGTGATGCAGCTCTCGGAAAAGCTGCCTTCTCCACCACCTTGGGGTGTTTTTCACAGCAGAAGCAGAAGAAGGGAGTGTTTTTGTTTATCTGAAAAATATTAACAGTCTCTCCTCCACGTATGGTCTCATCACAAGCAGCCCAAGTGCACAGACCAAGTGTAACATTTTTATGACGCTATTTCTATGGGTTGAGCTTTTTTCTTAATTTTTTTTTATTTGTTGTTTTTTCCACATGAAGGACTCCTCTTCATTTTGCTCCCTGTAGAAAACATCAGTCTTTACCACGATTGGTTGCTCTGCACTCCTCCCTTTGCCAAGACGTGTCTGTAGGCACATTCCCCGAGTTATTCTAAAGGCAGGCTGGCACTGCTGGCACTTAAACTCTCATTTTAAGAAGAGGAGCAAGATGAAGACAGATATGATTCTTTTTTTCTGGCAGAGGATGGTGAGCCACTGGAAAAGTTCCTCTTCGGAGGAGGAGAGAGACTCTTCCCCTTTGGGTGGCAGAGTAGCACACGTAGCTTCCTACCCTCCAAAGGGGAAAACTGCATGTAGTAAGTGCTCCCAACCTTAGGAATCTTCAGGCAGCAACTGCTTACCAGCCTCCACTTCCCCAGCTGCTGTTCTTTGGAGAGTGATTTTTCTCAAAGCAAGCGTTTCCCCGCTCTTTCTCAGCTAAACAAAATAGGCAAAAATCAGTGATGGCATCTCCTACAGAGCACCCTATTTAGTTTGCTGTCAAAATCATTGTATGTATTATTTTTGTACGATTTTATTTCACAGCATAAAATTAATAGAGAAGGAGAGTGGGTCTTTAAAAATCAGTTGCAAACAGCATGTTCTGATGTAAATGAACACTCTCCAGCAGCATTTGCAAATCTTTACTGGATCCTTGTGCATCAGACTGAAAAGGAAAACAAACTGGGGGCCTGACTACCAAGGGAAGCCTAGGTTTTTCTCTCTCTCTTTTTTTTTTCTTTTCTCTCTTTTACAATTCAAACTGAAAGGGGAAAAAAAGGCTAATAACATGCAGCTGAAAGCTAAATTAGATATTTAAAATTCAGTCTGTTAAGTTAGGGAAGGAATTGCTCAACACTCCAAGAAGAGCATGCTTGTGGCCCATGGTTCTGGACCCTGCTGAGAGATGTTGAGCTCTGCCCTGTCTCGTCTCCTGAGCAAAAGGGGTGCAAACTAGAGGCAGGCATTTCCCACCCAGCTTGTGTGGCCATCAGCACCTGATTAGCAAAGGGAGAATGCAAACGTATATGGGAGTTGGAAGCTTGGTCTCCAGGCTGCTGCCTGTCAGGGCAGCTCTCTGTGCCTTAAAGATTGGTCACTCCCTACTGGAAGTCAGGAAGTCATTCAGGAGGATGGCTGAGCCTTGCTAGACAAGCCCTAATTTTCATATCTGTTATCTAGCCATCACAGCAACAGCCAGAATGAGATTAGGCAGATACACAGATAGATACTTTACATTGCCTTCCAATGACAAAAAAAGGGCCCCGGGGAGAATGCATCACCTGCCCCAAGGGAGGGCACAAAGGGTGACACCTCTGTGATAAGGGAGTAGCTCCACCGACAAAAAGATTAACCCACCCCGATGAGTAACTCAGCTGGTAGCTTCTGCTTTCCTATTTTGACTCCCTATTTGTGCAAACTTTTCTCTCGTAATAACTGAAACAGAGGGTGCAAAGCAAGTTGTTGAGGTGTCTCCTAAGCTTGCTATTGAAAGCCCATCAGACACACCGTGGGCACAAAAAAAGGGGATTGCAGTGACCTGGTGGGGCTCTTCCTACCTCTGCCTTTCCTCAGGTGCAATGAGCTGTCCAGGAGGGAAACAGAGAAGCTTTACCTTGAACCTTGCAGGACAATTTGTAGCCTGAAACGATGCACTGAGGTGTAGCAAGCTCTATTTAGAAATGGATATATCCAGCCTGGAGCCCTGGGAGACAATAAAGCATCTGTTTGACTTCCTCAGTGGGTTTGCTGTGTGTAAATCATTTATCCCTGCTCCTGCTCCCCTTTCTTAGCTCTCACAATTTGTATTTTTTTTTTTTTTTGCCAGAAAAAACGATGCCTGCCTTTCTGTTGGTGAGCAGCTTGGGACACATTGCCTGGAGTCTGACCTCAAAGTAGGGTGGGATTTGAAACTGAAATCCACTCGGTTTGATCTCGCAAGAACCGCTGCGCTGCACAGCTTGTACATCTTTAGTAAAAAGGCAAGCCTTCAAATCCATCCTTTTCAGAGGCCTGTCTCCGTTGTCAGCTGCCATCTTCCGAGAGAAAGATCTAAAATTAGAGAAAAGCTGCCCTCCACTGCTGGAGAATACTGCTGCTGTGACATATGAAAGCAGAAATAAGCTTCAAATAAAGGTCTTCTGCTTAAGCTCACGTAATGAACAAGAAAGACTTTGGGTCTCTCCTGTCCAGACCGGCGTTTGTGGGGATCTGATTTAAATAGGCAGCCACAGCACCAACGCTTATCTTTGTCTGCCTAAGCGTTTATACTTTGCCTGTCATTAGAGGTGCCGTTATTTTGATGGAAACCTAGAGATCGAAGGGTTTCTCCTTAAAATACCTTCCCTAGGAATCCTGAGGGATGCCTGGAGACCCTACTCTTTCCAATAAATCAGTGAAAAAGAAGGAAACCCTGCATGTGGGAGCAGCATCTCGAGACACTTTGAATGGAGTGGTTGTGATGAGGTGTGGACAGAGAGCAGGGACTGAGCTGTGGCTGCAGCCCTGGAGACAGCAGGTTCAAATCTGTGGCCTGGGGTGTTCTCAGAACCCCCCCAAAGCTATTGGCAGTGATAACACCAGGGGATTAGGAGTCTGGGCACCCCTGGTTAACCCTGGTGTCTGCACTCCGCAGTCTCTGCGTTCTGCATCCCTCCCACCGAACAGGCTTCTCCTGCCCTGGAGGGATTAGTGGGGTTTACAGGGTTAGATCTGCTCTAATGTACCGTGGCACAGCAGCCTGGGCATGGTGTGGAGGCAGAGAGCCCTGGGGAGAGCCCCTGTGGTGCCAGAGGGGAGCGGAGCTGGTGATACACCACCGCGAATTGAGACTGATTTCAAGCTTCCCAGTACTTGGGGGCAAGGAAGGTGCTACAATAAAGCAGGGTTTGATTAGCAGCAAGGCAGTGTGATGGTTTCCCTTTTAACCTGAGTGTTTTACAGCGTCCCAAACCCAGAGATCCTGCTCTAACACAGCTGCTGAGACTCTCAGAGAAGGAAACAGAAAACAAACCTCCTTCTTCCATCTCTTTTTCTTCCTGTTCCCTCTTCCCCCAGGCACCCAGCCCCAATTCCCCTCTGTGTGGCTGGTCATGCCTGCACTGTGCTGCTGATGCCATGCCATAAACCACCCTCCCGTGGCTCCAGCAAGAGCTGAGAGCTTTCCTGCATCCTTGCTCATTTTCTGCTCAGCCCGGCAGCACAAGTGGCTGCCTCTGAAAGAGCCCTCCTGGGAGTTTGTGGAAGGGGAAACTTAGTGGGAATAAATGCCTCAGGAGTCACCTGGAGGAACAGGTTGGTCGGTAGCTGACTTTAAAAATCCTTGGCCAAAGGTAGGTGCACTGCAGCCAAGCTCTCATCTGCCAGCTGGGGAAGGAGGCAACACTGGCACCAGGAGAGAGGGAGAGCAACAGCACCAAGGAAAAGGAGCAGAAATTGCACATGTGAGGAGGCTTTGCTTTCACAGGATTGCAACATGCCTGAAAAACTCTCAGAAGCATGAGGTGCCTTCAGAAGCCCCAAACACGGGAGAGACTTTATCTTTATTCTCCCTGCAGTGGGCCCCAGCAGCTCCAGTGCCCTGTGCTGGCACCACAGGCTGCCCCTGGAAGAGGCTCTTGTTCGGATCCTCTTCAACACAGTGACACAGGACAGACGACTTTGTCACAGTCCTGGCAAAAACAGAGCCTGCAGCAGAGTGCAAATGGCCTGCCTCCAGGGGCTGGAGTGCCAGTGTGTTTTCCAGACCTTTTCAGATCCCTGCAGCTCATGAGACAGCAACGTGACAGGGGAAAACCCAAAATTCATAGCTGGGCTGCAAGTGCAGGTGAAACAGGCACCCAGCACCCAGCATGGCACACAGTGTGACAGGCAGGATCCTGTGGGAGAGGACACCTGGCACCTTAAGAGGGAGTGGGATTTGGTTTAAAAGGGACCCATTTTTCTTAGGCAGGAGCAGTAGAAGTTTGTTTTCCTGAAGCACTAAAGCGTAACCAGGATGGCTCATCATCTCCTGGCATCACCCCAACACTGTTATTACTGATGGTACTGCAAAGGGATCAGATCATTAAAGATTATTAAAGGGCATGGCTAAGTCTGTGCAGCTAAAAGTGCACATACTTTTAGCATCAGCAACATTTTGGGCCTCATTCAAAATCCAATGAAACCACTGGGAAAAACATCCTGTTAACCCCTGGAGTTTTCTCCTCTGAGACTGGCCTGATGGGAATAGTCCCACAGGAACCCAAGCTGACAGTGGAACTCGGCTACATGCACACTGCATAGATGGAAAACCAGGACACATTGCTGAATCCAAGAAGCATGAATGTTACTGAGTCCCTGTTGCTCCAGAGCCTTCACCTACTTTTTTCTGTGTTCACGGAGCTCTGCCTGTCAGAAGCAAAA